CGAAAAGACGTAAAGAAAGGATGATAGAAACTAAATAAATGAATGTACTTTATATTATTTGTCGTAATATATTATAGTACACATCTCTATTATTGTTTTGGACGATTAACGAGTATAAGCTTTCATGAAAATTCAATGTCACTCTCTCGGACAGTTGTAAAATTATTATTATTATATATTAATTATGTGCAAAATAGAGTCCTAAAATAAAAGTTCTTACAAGGAAAAAATAATTTAAAATAATATTGGACATTTTTATTAATAAATAATGTTACGAGGACTCGCAATGTTGGTGACGCTACTGAGGGCAAATAGATTATATTTCCGATCGATATCGATCATTATTGGTATACAACAATCGGTATAAGCGTCTGTCATTGAAGCCTTGAATAAATATGTGTGTCGAATAAACATCGGGAGTGCGTGTGTATACGTCGAATAAACGTCAAATAAGTCGCGTTGTCCGAATAAATAACGAGTCGTCGCTTCGAGCAAGTGTGGCGGAACGAGAGGCCTCCGAGAACATCGCGTTTCCTGGAGAGACTCTCCCCTGATCGATCCTCCGCAACCCCGGTTTAGACACTCGTGGAAGCCCGGACGTCGACATCGCGACGCCCGTTCACGAGCTCCACCCATGTAGCGTCGCCGTCGTACATGCGCAAGCCAGACGGCTCGCGAGATGACATGTTCGCCAAACATCGTAAAACGGCCGCCCCGTAATCAATTAGCCCCGGCTCCAATTAGCAGGCATACGCTTGTGAGAGTGTGTCTGAATTCACGCGCTGCCCTCACTGACGAGGCTCCTCTCAGGAGACGTAAACTCTGGATCGTCGTAAACAGGATTGATAACGCGCACGTTATACGCGGTGGCACGCGCGTAAAGTGCACGTAGAGGAAAATCCGCGCGCGCGCGCGCGCGTAGATTGTATTATTTTTATTGCGAAAATCAGCGAGGATGCGCACACTCGTGTGTGTGTTATACGTTAGCGAGTGCGTACGAAAGAAGAATAAGTACTTATTAAGATTTCAACCTATCAAAAACTGGTTACACCAGAATACACGGTTTCTAATAGGTTAAAATCTTAATATTTAAGTAGATACAGATTTAAAGATAATTTTCTTGGATAATTAAAATAATTATGTAAGAAATTCAAACATAATATGAACAATGCTCTGCAAAGAATTTTAACTTTCTAGCATTCAGCTTGAGCGTCTTACATGATTATTTTTATAGTTTAACAAAATTATTTTCATCTGTATCTAAATTTTTAGACAGCAAAACCATTCTTTCTGTGTTAAAATACAACATAATTGCGTAATAAAAAGTTACACTTTTCGGAATTTTGAGTGAAGTAATGAAATGTAGAATTCGATTGTTGAAGAAGTAATAATCAGCTGCTATTCTTCTTTTATTGGTACTTCGTTTATTGATATTTCTCCGTTTATTTATCTCTTCACTAAGTATCTTTGAGGCTTTCTTTTTTAGATTTTAGATCTGCTTTTTATCGATTTAATATTTATGAACTTGCACCATTCATCTTTTCTTCTCTTGCCTTCAACGTAGAGAAACTGAAAAGAATAGAATTCTTTTGAATACATCTTTTGTAAATCTGCTTTTATATTTTTCAAAATACATCCATTGATTTAACGGTTGTTTACCTGCAATTAAATACCGTGACATAAATTTTCTATATATGCGTGACCGTCCAACTCTTTGCTACAAATAAAAGCTGTAGATACTTCAAAGGTCCTACATTGTAGAAATTATTGTAAAAACAGATATTTATCCGGTTCTTTATTGACGAGGCACGTAATAAGGGAATTTACATTTTCCGCTGTCAGCAACTAATCCTATAAATTTACGAATCTATTACCTGATCTACGCCTCGTATCCTACGACCAATAGGATCACAATGTAAATTTTGAACTTAATAAATATTTAATATATATTTAATAAATATTTAATATAAGTATTTAATATAGTTTTTTTATTTGTAAAATATTATATATTTAATATCTTGACATTATTCTAATTTTAATAAATATTTACATATTATTTTAATATAATACTTTACTCCTGTAATATAAAAAGATCTCGGTGTTTCTTATTGTTAAATGCCTATATTAATTTCCAAATTTTGTGACATTTGTTGCATTAGATGTTTCAAATATTCAACTATAAGTAACTACTATTCGCTATTTTTGACAATAAATAAAAATAAAAATTTTCAAAAAATGTTATCAGGTAAAGAATAAATTTCTCACGTGATATTGATAGAAAAAACAATCATTTTAAAATTTCTATTAAAATTCATTTAAAATTAAATAAAATTTTAATAGTTTTATATAACCGTGAAACTTGATTTTATTTAAGATAATGCAGTATATATTTAGGATTAATTCTTATATTATAAAACATTTCGAAGCAGCTTTTATATTTTCAAATAATGAATTAATATGTGCTTGTATATAAATGTTTATAATATAATTCTTTAAAAAATTATGTTGACAAAATAGAAATCGTATTACACTAAATATCGGTAACATAGTACTCTAATTATTTTTCCAGAGTATAATCTTTACTTTCTTTAAATTAAAAATTTTTTCAAATAAATGCATGCGGATTAAGTTCCAATTCTATTTGATCTACACGTTAAAATCTATAGTCTTGATAAACAAATTAATAAACGCCATGCTCATTTGATAAATTTAATTGAACGCACGTATCATATGCGAGAACCGATTCGAAAAATATCATGACAAATATAGAGCACGTGGCGACATCTGACAGGAAATAATTAAAACATATCAGTATTTTACATTTCATAAGATATTTGTCACAATAAATTTTCTTAAATTAGATTTAAAAAATTAATAAAAGAAATAGCGATAATTTTAGATAGATACTATATAATAATAAATTAATTTTAACACATTCAAATATACATAGATACACGAGAGAATATACATATTTATAGCTTATAATACTCAATTACTTGAAGATAAAGACTTATCATATGTATAAAACCAAGTAAATATTTAAATAACTTTGATCGTGAGATTCATAAAATTGTACATTATATTTATAAATCATATATATTTTAATATTATAGCTATTGCATTAACATAAACTATTCGGAGTATGAGAAAAATATTACAAATGGAAACTTAAAAAATAATTAATGATCGTTAAACAGTTATTCATTTAAAATTACATTTCAAAATTAATAATCAAAGCCGATTTCTTTCCTCGACGACAAGTCCTTAGGATTTACAAGACATTCCATAAGGTAATAGAAAACAAAACAACGGTATATATATTGCGAGTTTATTAATTATTATTATTATACTTAATATTTATAACATATATATATTTATATATATGTATGTGTGTATGTGTGTACATATATGTATACGTACACGTATGTCCGTCACGTATATACTTCCATGTACATACAGCACAACAAAAAAAAAAGACCGCGCACGCACGCACGCACGCACGCATCCACCCACGCACGCACGCATACGCGCTCGCAACTCACATGAAAACTCGTCGAACATACGTGTACATATACAAGACACCCTGTACGTTACGATACAACCGCAATACGTTTAAATAAGATATATGCAAAGAACGTATATTTTTTTTTAGCTCAAACGAGATAAGCTGTTCTATTGATAAGAATCGATTCGTTACATATAGGCATCTTTATCCTTTCTTTTTTCCTTATCCTTTTTGCATTTTTTTCCCCTTAAATAATCCTCTTACTAAATATTACTCTAGATTATCTTTCTTTGTACCGTCCCTCGGCACGACGTCGGTTGTACCGTTTTCACAGAATATCCTGCAGCACGAATATGCATATATGTATACGCGTCATGCGACTGTATGTTTACGTGTACGTGTGTATACGAGGCCGAATTAGCTCTTTCGAGGCGCCTTCGGCCCGTCATAATTTATATGAAAAGCGTTATAACACATGTATACTGCCATTGTGTACGGAACATCTATTTTGTCTGCAATACGAATTCTATGAGAGATGTCGATCTAACATTGGCGGGTAACATTCCTTCGCGAGGAGACAATCGGATTAAAATTCGGCACAGAGAAGACGCGAGAGCGCAACGACGTGTACCTCCGGTATATTGAATATCGGTTTCGCTCTGCGGAATTTCATCCGGTTCGCAGTTAATCGTTACGAAGATCAGGTCCGTCGCGTTTCTCTTTCAGTACTTATGTTTCTGGTAGTGTACTGTTACACACCACCGTATTCTATGCGATATTCCTAAAGCTTACGATACCTCAATTTCGTTTAATTCATTTCCAATTAACGCTGATATCAACGCGGATTAGTCGCAACGTCTAAAAGCAGGGTTTCGTTGGCGTTGTGAGAATTTTTATCCATTTCGCGGAAACCCGACGAGGTCTCGTCGGAACGTATTTCTGTGTAAGAATAGGCTTAGAATGATCCTTTCGAGAGTTATAAAAATTGCAAATCCATGGTTTCACATTTTCCCTTACGTCTAAGATTTCGCAGATTCCGTTATTTAAGGTCTCATTGAATGTCCAAAGATTTTCGGATAAAGATAAAACGTTTAAAATAGAAGCCGATATCTTATGTCACACAATGTCGCGCAAGTTTATACACACATATGTATACGATTTTTTTTTTTCAATTAAAAACAATGCACAAACATATTCGAATCCGACAATTTGGCTGTTATAAAACATTAAGGTAAGTAAGCGAACATGTAAATAAAGTAACATGCTATTCCCTGTACAGAACAATAATGTGCAGATTTTTTTTTCGAAGAATCAAGTTCAATAGAATTTACAATGGGCAAATAAAAGGTACGTCGTTAAAATTTATACGCGTACAGAAAAGTAACAGAATTTATGTTACGTATGAGCGCAGCTCCAAAAACAATCGATATAAATTAATTTCATCGTCATATATATTAGGAAGTTATTATAAATATACGTTTAAATTTGGTGTGTATATATATCTATATATATCTCAAAAGAATTGACTTATACATATTTGGCTTGTCAGCATCTGGAAATATAATACAAAACAAAACAAATTTTGATAGAGATAACACGCAAATCCACTAACAAAATTAAAATTTAAAAGATTTATACATTTTTACAAGCGACTCTCATTTAACTAGATGATATATTCTAATATCAAAAAATTCCTTCTACTAACCCCAATTATACAAATACATTATTTTAACTAAAAATAAAAGATAATGTTTTTGTAATTTGCTCTTTTCCGTTAAATTACCGATCGTTTAATATTAGAAATAGCATACATGTGGACAGATTTGAGGACTCTCTTCGGAATCAGCGAGAAAAAAAGTATATTTCGCCTATATTAAAAAATTTCACATCATTCCGATAAAATACGATATTAATGCAGTACAACCAGAACTATAGGTACCAACGATGCTTATTTCTCAAACAATTTAAAATAGGCTGCCAATCTATTACATCAGAAAGATCGGCGAGCGATATAATGCCATTAGGCTGGAGAGAAAAAGAAATGAATTATATACAGTTCCTACCCGGCGCCTTGTTCGTTAGACCAGCAGAGCCAATGTCAGAACGATCGATTATACCCTGCCTACTCGTTGCTATCGTGGGGAACACAAGAGGCGTCAGCCAAACCACCCCGTCACGCACAGCCTTGTACGCGACACGGGGGCGGCAAAATATGCGCATTCAGGACAGCGCATATTTTAGGTCTGCTTGAGTTTCGCGAAGTCAATCTCGGCGTAGGTGAAATTCTCCTGTGTGGACGCCGGTGACACGGGCGCTGGATTATCGACCTCCGGCAGATCGAGACTAGCGTAATGCAGTATTGTCGCGCCCGGTTGAAGCTTCTCGTAGCCCTCGCTGTCCAACGGACTTGGCGTGGGCGTGGGTGTAGATGTGGGCGTAGGCGTGGGAGTCTCGTCGATGAACTTTGGCGAGGATGGCTTCGACTGTTGCGCGGTCGACGGCTTGAAACCCGTCAGAGTAGGACTGGTGTTTGGCGAGGCCGTGACGAGACGCGGTTTCGACACCGTTAGATCCGACAGTTTTTTCGTTATTACGTTAATGGGCTTACCGTGTTCTTGCGATGACGAAGACTTTAATATAACTCGAACATTCTTCTCTACAGGACTAGGTGGCTTCTCGCTATTCGCTTTCGACGAGGATATCGTCTCCGTCAATGGGGTAGAACACGACGTGTAAATCTTCTTTGCGGGTTCCATCACCGCGTATTCATTGTTCTTATTTTGGTTAGAAAAATCTTCTCCTTCTGTCGTGGAGAACTCATCGTTTTTTTTCGTGAAAGGTTTCACAGGTGACTGAGGACTGTTCAGAGAAAAGGGAAAAATCGTGGCCGATGAACCCGTTGGTGTTGCTCGCGGCGGAGAGGCGGGCGTGCTCGCCAGACTCTCGGATGTCGGACTTCCGTTCAAAGGTAGAAAATTTGGAGTTTTAGGTGGCTTGCTGCCCGCCTGAATCGCGATTGGTTGCGATCGCGATTTTTCCTTGCGATTGCCCGTTCGTGTTTTACGATTGTTCCCACCCATACTCATATTTATGTAGTCTTGTTCTAAACTCGGCCGCGCTTTAAAAGACATCTCGACGTAGCCCTCCGGAGGACGCCTCGGTTGCGGAAGATCTACAGGTGCCGTTCTTGTGCTACCTAAACATTCATAATAATTTTCACAAATATTTTATTACGTCATATAAAGAATAATATTATATTAAGGATTTTTTACAATGTTTACAAACTATTTACCTGGTGGCCCATTTGTTTGATAGATATCCTCTTGAATAGGCGATGACAATTGTTTCGGACTCGCTTCCGAATGCGTCCAATCTATCTCTATCGTACCGTCCATTTTCATATAAGGTCCCTCCGCTTCTTCTACTGGTTTTAAAGTTGTAATTACAGGTTTATGAGCGAAAGTTAGCGATGATATATGCATGTGGCTATGATTGTGGTTGGCAGTGATTGTATTATTATTGTTATTGCGATTGATCTGTAAGAAAAGAATTTTGTTGTTACTTAACAACGGCTGTGCAGTAATTTTATCAGCAAAAACATTGATATATCGATAATACCTTATTTATACCACTCATATCGACGTATGGGGCAGTAGTCGATATGGGAGCTTGTCCGGGCGACATGTCGACGTAGGAACTAGTGTCGGTGGCAGTAGAATAAGTAGAGTACAGTTGCGGTTGCGACTGAGGTTGGGAACATGATGTCGGAGGCGAAGAGAGAGCGGTTGGAATACTGGGCCTCGTGAAATCCAACTCCATGAGATCCTCCATGCGATCGGACGCTCCGGAGCAACCCGAATTGTGTCCCCAAGAGCTCGACAGCAACGGCGCGGAACTCGACTTCGAATTCGAGGTTTCCGAACCAGCAGGTAATGGCGCAGTAATTACATTGGCTAACCTTCCAATCTCGGGCCTCTTAGACCGACTACCTACGGAAAATGCTCGTACTCTGTTGGCGTCTTGCGGAGTAATGTCCAACCTGCATAAAGATTGTAGTAAAGTAAAAGACGCCATTTATATCATTTATATCAATAGCATACGTAAATAATGTTTAAAGCACTTGAGTAGCCATATCGACGTCGTAAGAAATTTGCTTGCTATGTGTTTGCCAGCGTTCACTTAATTCACATGCATAGTTTATTTACGTGCCTTTTACGACTATTTACTGACTATCGGAGGGGAGAGAGGAATAAGGATAACTTTGGCCCAACTTTACAAGTATTCTAATTGTTTTAAAGCAATCTTATTATTTCTTTTTATCCAAATTCTCTTTATTTACAAATGGAAAAAAAAGTTCAAGGTGTCATTTATACGTCACGATCCAATATGACTACGATAACTACTCAGGAATCTTAAAACTCATTTAGTTGAAACATTCTCTCAAATCATGCAATCGTCATAGAATTTTGTGAATAATATTTTATCGAATAACGATGTGTATAATACTTAACATCTAAATAATATTTTAAACTCATACCTGTTTTTACGATGCCTGTTGGCTTGTTCCGGTCTCGATCCAACGGAGTAAGCTCTAGTTGGTCTGGCTTGCAGATCTTCCCCGGGTGTTAAAAAGCTGGTTACCTTGTCCAAATGATACTCAGAAAACCGCAGATCCGTACTAGGCGTGCCAGACGTAACAGAACAGCTACTGCCATCGTTTTGCGACATATCGTCCGGAAAGTGACCGTTGTGACTATTTACAGGATCCATATCGACGTAACCGTCATCTCCAACTGGTGCCATCGGCACGTAGCCATCCACGTTGCTTTCCTCCACAAGGGATGATCCACGGGAATGCGAATGGGCCGTTGTCGCCGGGCTCATGGGCATATATACGCCTCCACGGCCCGGACTCGATCCACAGGGGCTGTACATTTCACTCTGGTAGGAACTCTGCAACCAGAACGATCAATTATCAGTGTTTACCCTGCAATTAAAATATTATATAAAACAGTACTTTGAACTAAATATCATTTTATTTAAATATAGACAACACAAACCAATAAAAAAAAATTTTATTTTATTTTAAATACAATAAAAAGGGGAGGGGAGGGAAGATTTGTTGGATTTTATTAAACACACTAAAAGGTCATTATAAACTTTTTTACTGTATAAACTAGAAAATGATTTACGCTACCTTTATACTGTTTTATATAAAAGCTTTTTTATTGTGTTAACGGATTCAGAAGCGATATTACGAGTACACTCACCTGAGAGGGCGAATGAGATTTAAAGTTTGGCGAGTATTTCAAATGTGGATGCGATGTCGACCACAGGGCATAGTCGTCACCTTTCTTGTCTAAGATTACAGGCTCGTCAGGTGTCAAGGAATGCCCGTACCTCGAGACAGTGCTTTCTTCTAAAATATTCTCACCACAATCATCCATCGAGGGTGACGATCCGGCCGAATCCGATGAACAGACGTCGGAAGATGGACTAATAGGCATCGACGCGATTGGTGGAGAATATGAGAGGCCTCGGCCACACATGGAATGCGGTCGCGGTACGTGCGACATAATATGGGCTCCTCTAGGATGGCTTAACACAACCGTAGTTGGTTGTCCCTCACTGGTAGTACGAGCTCTCGACGGCAAACTGTCGCATCGATCGCGCCCTGTAGCACCTGCAAAGATACTCATCAGAAATCTCCTCGTGATGTTTACTTGCATACAGTAGAAAGAAGCCAGTTCCATCGTCCCAGCATAGCAACAGCGGTTAGTTTTATATGTTCGCATATATAAATTATTATATATGTACACAATATATTTTTTGTTTTATATATATATATATATTTGTTTTTCTTAAGTTAAGCAACAGTAATCACGGTCACTTCATCAAAAATATTCTGCGCATTTGCAGAATTTGGGTTAAAAATTAAATATAGCAAAGTAAGGATTATGATAACCAGCTTGCAGAAATTATTATCCAAGTATCAACACTGGAGCATCCAGGAGAAATGTACAAAACATATTCATTCCTTATGTTCAATAACAAATGAATAGAAGATACGAACTAAAGCATTTGTTTCATAATACATCGTGCACTTAATAATAGCATGCTAGCAAAACTTTACAATTGTAATTATTATGATCTCTTATTAGATAAACATAACATTGATTGGCTTTATACAGTTTGGAAGGAATGAATGCGTAACAAAAAGAGCAGAACAAGCGTATTGCAGAAACACTGAAGGATAAAACAGAGATTCGGATCGATTAAACAAATATGTGTGACGAAACGAAATACATACACCGTAAAACGGATCTTTTAGATGGTTGCGTTTGATTGATAATAACGGCAGCTAAGGGCAGCGACAAGGTTCTCTGATGGGATATTGTCGCGGTTGTGGTTGTAGTGATCGTCGCGGTGACGGTCGCAGTAATGGTGGTGGTGATGGTAGTGGTGGTTGCAGTGATGGTAGTGGTAGTGACAGTAGTGGTAGTCATAATTGCATTTGTTGCTGTTGTGACATTGTGAACGGATTGGGAATTATTGACGGAATGAGGATGACTCGCTACCGAATGACGACGTCTAGCGGTACCGGCACTGTTGGCATTAGTCGTGGCAATCCCAGTAGTCCAAGCCCCGGTACCAGCAACGGCTGCAAACCACACACCTCTCACTATCGCACAACTGTCTTTTGTCTTACGTGCATCTTGTGCTGGATATGACAGATACGGCACGGATAGTGTACCATGCTGTTAAAGACATGACCGCAGAGAATCTATCTCTTATATTTCGCGATGAGTTATTGACAAGTCTGACACACAAAACCTATTTTAATAATCGTTTTCAACTAGCAACTGTTCTCTTAAATTTGATTTCCCTTATGACGATAACTTTTATGTGAAAAGAGAATTATGATAAAACACATGTACCAATAACATCAAAATGACAATAAAGCGTAACAATTCAGTTTTCTGTCTTTCGTCATCATTTTAACAAGATGCATTATGTATATATATGATACCTGACAAATATATGATATCAGACAATTTACAGATTCCAGATAACTTGCTGATTGTATCAATCATGCTATTTACACTATGAAACTAACACTCAGAAAACGATGCATTACTGATCGACCCAAACTTTCATTTTTAACACAATTGATCATTGCATTCGTAGAAAAGTTTCAGCTTTTCAATCTACATGTTCAAAAATTTATTTAATGTCAACATAATAAATTCTGACGTTACTTTTAACATTAAGAAAATATTTCCCACTTTATTAAACATTTATTAATCCTTTCCAAAGGCTAACGTATTACGAATAAACAAGCTATATGTATAATATAATAATAAATGATATTTACAGATGAAATGAGAATATGACAGCACAATTCTTTTTAAACTTATTTTTTCTAAAAAAATTGAAAATAAAAGTCATATCAATTGCGTATATATAAATAGTATGTGTTGCACATGTACCAAAAGTACCAAATAAAATAAAAGAAAAATGCAATGACCAAGTTTTCAGATAAAGTCCTATACCCCATGAAATGAAAAACTGAAGAAAAATAAATGACATGTTCACTGTTCTTATGTGTCCTTTTTGCCATTCAAAATCCATAAAACGCGAAAGAAGGAAAGCAAATAGCTATTGTGACAGAGAACAGACCCGTGACTGTATTGGTGGAGGAGGTATTCCGAGATTGACTACACTGTGTGAGAACAGAGGAAGTAGCAGTCTGCTCTTGCAGTGGTTCCACTTGCTCCTTGTATGTCTTCTGTTCCTCTGTAAACCCCGTAAACCCATTTGTGTTATTCTAAAGCTGAGCTCTAATGTGTACAGATACGACGATTCACCTGGTTTTCTTAAAGTATACAATTTAATGTGCGTGTGCAATTGGCGATAATTATGTGTAAAAGGAACGGTGTATCAGACGAAGTTTCAAGTCCGGATTTAAAAGGAATTTGTAAAAAGGATGATTTTAAATACACAAATGACGTATATCGAAGCAAACCGAGACGCAGTATCTCTGTCGATTTCTGATTATAGACACGTGATAACCGATATGTCCCAAGTTACATATGCGAAAATCACATTTCGATAAGTAATACGAAACACGCTGAAAAAACTGATAACTCACATCCTGGTGTAAATCACAATGGATACACGATATGTACAAGGAGCAGATTTGCGAAAATTGCAGCTTACCCAGGGGCGAAAAGCCATGAAGCTTTTGACCCGTATGCCGTCTTTGGAGAACGGATATAGGTTTGCTGGCTTCGTTGGCGGAGGAACTACGCGTTCTCTGGCGAGGCCCAACTTCGTCTTTGTTACTCTTCGAATTCCTCATCGCAGTCGTTATTACATCGTACATATTGAGCGCGATATTGTTATCTTCGACTGCCATCCAAAATTCGCCATCTCCGGTTACAGCGGATCGGCCAACCTCTATGTAGAATATATCATTCGCAAATCCACATCGTCTAATATAATTTAGCTGCAAAAGAAAAATAATTTAGAGATTGTATTGATTCCAACATTATTAAATGTTAAGTTTTCTTGACCTTCAACTAACGATAACAAAATTCTAAAATATATTTTTTAATAATAATGCGCACAATTAAGACGCTTAATTTGCGAAGCTTCACGGTAAGCCTTCCAAACAGTAATAATAACATATCAAGGCGTTGAAATATCACCGTGTGCAATTGCTTTCGCGTTTGGCGTCGCATAGTCTAAACAAAATCTTTCATTCATTTTATTATTCACGGTGAAAACTGATCCGTCTAAATACATCTCGGACCACCATGAATAAAAACGCATACACTAGACTACGGCGTTCTTTTGTTATTAAATAACAAAGCTCGTATAAAAAAATAAAAGATTATAGCTACAAGCACTAGTCTATAACATACTACACTACGCTAACTATATTTCATGTAAACTTACAGAAATCTCGATAGAATCAGAGTTATCCTGTGCCCCAATCTTCACTAAACTTAAAGTTTGATCGGTGAGGCATAATCTGTAGGGTCCGTGAATGTTCTTTCGTGCTCCTAGACCTCTTTTTTGCATTGTGACTTGCCATACGTGTTCTGAAAGACATAAAGAAATATAAGATACTAATCTCATATTTGAAACAGAAATAAATTATGAATATAATACTTCATTGTGTAATAAATTATATTTAATTTCAATAGATAAGTGCATTGTATACATGCACTTTGTAAATGAAGGGGCAATAGATATTTCAAATTTTCTATAGTCAATTATATTAAATATAGAATTCAAATTAATACGTATGGAAAACTTAAAATATCTGTTACAGTTCATTTACTGCAAATTATCGTAGTAATAAGTATCTATTTATAAAACGCAAATGTTCACTATCATGTATGTTTGCAGCGTTAAATATATTTGTAGTTCAAATGCGTCATAGTAAATAATGCTCGAAAATACATATAAAATAATAATATAAATACTGTGTGATTCTTGTATAAAATAATTTAAGTTCATACATATCAAGAGAATTGTGCTAATAATCGAGACGAACACAGAATTTTTTTTTATATTAAAACAGATTCTGTGTAGGGATCAAAGAAGTAATACGTAATTTGAAACAATGGCGTTTTGTATTTATCCGACATTACTCTTGTTTTCTTTGTTCCTGCAAAGAACACAAAAACACAAACAATTGCCAACGTTATTTTTATTCCAAGGCTACATAACTCGTTCGAAATGTGGAAGTCACAAAATACACAGATAGCAGCAACGCACTTTTTATTGTGTATCTTTGTATCTGTCCCTTTAGAGTTTCGCATAAATTTCTCAAGAATGTGTACACAATTAAATAGATATGGACAAAATAAGCGCCTTTTTTATAAATTACGAGAAAACTCGTGTTACGTTAAAAAAAAAAGAGGTAAATGAGAAAATAAAAGAATAAAATTCGCGGAGACGCAGTTTGTTCCGAAAATCGTCGATTCATTCTATGGTAGATGTAAACAAATTTGTACACGCGCGACCAAGTTCCGTTGCAGGTCCCTACGTCAATCGATGTAGATGCGCGATAATCTCATCATGAAAAAAAAAATCGATTACCATCCGCAGAAAACGAGAAGACTCATATTTTCCAAGACGTAACAGAAATGTGTATCAAGGCCAAATGTAGATTGCTATCTAAAGAACGCAAATGTCATTATTAGACAAATAAACAAGCAGGGATTTAAACGTCAATATATCGATATCGTTTATGGACGATGGCTGATTTTTTTTTTTTTTTATAGAGAGTATCAGGCACAGAAGAACGTATACCGATCGGAATGATAAAGGTTGCAAAGGGGCAATAAAGGTTGTTGATCGGTTTTCCCGACGTTCGGGCGGGAAATCGCAAAACGGCGCAATTTACCGAATGTAGGCCGCGGCTGTTCCCCGTCGGGCACGTCCCCGCTCTGTAGCCTGAGCATCGCCTTGAGCCACTCGTCCAGCTCCTTCTCACTGTCGAGGATCAGGCAGAAGCACTCGTCCTTGGTGTAGAGCGCGATCACATGCTTGTGCTTGGTGTCGCCTCGCTTATTGATGTTGAAGCAGCTGTGCAGCAGTATGCTGCGCTTCGGCGGCTGCCTGTTCTCGAATTTCTTCTTGCTGTCGTAATACTCGAGGCAGGCGAGGCAGCCGGGTCTCTCGCCGCGCAGTACAAAGTACTTCTTCTTCATCGTCTTGAGCTTCTTCAGGTGGCCGGAGCGGATCACGGGCCCGCCCGAGGGCGACGCCGGGCCCCTGCCCGAGGACATCGTCGGGATGACGATCGAGAAGATCGTCGTCGTCGTCGTCTTCGTCGTTGTCGCACGATTATCAACGAATCCCTCGAGTACGCGGGTACAAGCGTTTGGGCCCTTCGCGTTCTCCGTATCATTCACATGGTATCCCGGCTATATTATCGTCCCCGCTCGCTTCCCGCTGCCTGTTCCTTTCTCCTCGAGCATGCGAGTCGGCGTGCGCGGTTCGCGGAACGCGCCGAGAGCACGTCGTCACACGTGCGCCTCGTCCTCACCGAAAGACCGCGTGACGCACAACGGTGCAAAAGTTCATTTCATTGTGGCCGAGAAACGACGACAATTCCCACACTTGCGCCAAATATTCTCTTTTCTCTCTCTCTCTCTCTCTCTCTCTCTTTCGCCTTACTTATTTGTTATATTCTGCGTTTTATACTGATTTCATTTCCAATTTTTTGTACATAATCTTCTTTAACTTTTTGTGTTTCTGCGCGCCTCAATTGTATTATTTTTGAGTTTCACTATGTTTTCCTTGTCGATTCTGATTTCTCTCCAACGTTAAAAATTTTTTAGTTTCCGTATCATTTTTTGTTTATTTCAAACGTTCTTAGAGGACACGTCCCTAGACCGACGATAAAAGCTCAATCGATCGATCAATCAATCTCTTAATAAATAACAGATATATCTCTGTCTCTGTCGCTCCTCTAGCCGATTAACGTCGCTGCTCGATCGCCTTGGTGGAGCGTGATCCGCGCACTTTCGCGAGCATAACAATAACGGCCGTCAACGTGTCAGCGAACTGCGCCTTCCAACGCCACGATGCTTCTCTCCGATACGGGGAAACGTGCCGTCCTCGTCGTCGACGCTGTTATCGCGCGCTCAGGTCCGTCGCACATTGACAGTCACGACGGAAACGATATCGGGAGCGGCTCTCGCGAGCGCGAGCGCGCCTTCGCACGGCGGGAGCACGACAGCACGTTTCGGGACGTAAATATACACGGCGATGCGCGCGAGCAACAGCACCGCCAGCCGGGTTGCATGTGCGCTCGTCGCTGCGTTCCCCGAGGTCCGAGGGCGTGCTGCTGCTGCTGCTGCTGCTGCGTCGTGTCGCACCGCGTCCCTCTCTCTTCCTCTCGCAGTGGCAGTCGCGGACGTCCACCTTCTCGTAGGTTAGGAGGAACGACAACAATAACAATGGCGAGCCATGGCCAGCCACGAGACGACGACGACGATGACGACGATGACTGCGGCAACAGAACGGTCACAATCTCACGATCACCTTCGGTCTTCTCTCGCTCCACGTCGACGGCGTCGGAACCAAGTAGGGAAGATCCCCCGCGATCGCGCCCGACTACTCCGAGATGTTGCGAGACGGCACTCTCTCACTCTCGCTTCGCAGTTTGCTCCCTCCTTCGCTCCGTCCTCGTCTCTCGCTCTTTCTCTTCCTTTCTCACTCACCTTCTCTCTTTCTCTCCGCGTCTCGGCACGCCTCGAATCCACCTGTCACGCGGTTTCGTCTAATTTCGCCCGCCACCGATCTCGGGCCGCGTCTCGGGCGCGCCGAGGCTCCTCAACGGCTCCTCAGACGTGCCACCGCCGCTCGCGCATTCCTCGCGCGAGGAAGTAATTCGCGCGGAGCCACCACGAGCGAAGCCGTCAGCTCGCGTACGCCACGAAGTGCGGCCGTTTTACGAGCGAGCGCGGAGCACGGAGCCCTCCTCCTGCACCTGTTTGTCTCTCCGAATAACACAATTTACTGCGTGGTCCACGACGGTGACGTGTATACACACGAGTGCACGCGCGTGCTATCATACGCGTGCAAGAATAAACACCGACACTCACCCGCGCGCGCGCGCCACACACACACACGCGCGCACACACCCTCACACGTGCGCGCGGGCGCACGCGCAGAGGAACAGAGATAGATCGACGAAGCGGAGGGGAACCGGACGGTCAGACAGACAGACAGAGACGGAGAGCGCGATACGCAATACGATTCACGACGCAGGGAGTGCGAGAGAGAAGAGTGACGTAGCGGCAGAGGGGAGGGAAGAGGCACTCGCGACAAGACGGGTTCTCTTTCTCTCTTTCTAGTCGCGAATGAGCGCCGCGCATCCCGTCCCGAGTCTCTCTTTCGTGGAAAACGTGTTACAGCGTGGCGAGGAAACACGACCGACCGACGTATGTCTTTACAGACGGACGGGAAGTAGCGAGTGACGGTGAGCTCGCAGGTGGGCGGCTGGCCGAAATTCGCCCCTTATCGGCACAGCTCGCGGCGGTCGCGCGCTCCTCTCGATAAATAGGCTACTGCCAAGGGCAACGCGATTTTTTTTCATGCGC